TCCGGGGTCCCTTCCAGCCCAAATGTCTATGAAATCTATCATTTCCTTTCTACTGATTTTGATAAGAGCCTTAGAAATGTGCTCCTGTGCCTCAATAGGTACAACATGAACAGAGTTTATATCAGATATTATTTTTATTCTACACATTTATAATTATTGGCAAGCACAATTCATGTTAATCGGGTATCTTCATTACCTGATATTTGAGTGCAAAAATGGAGACCAAACTGGAGACTAAACTAGGAGCCTGGTTCAGACCAGATGGACTCAGTCCCTGTATCTCTTCTGGAGGCAGGTTTTGTTTCCTCAATGTTTTGAAAGCAGCCCCCACTGGTACTCAGCTAGATCAAATATTTCACTACTGGCCCATTTCTGCACCTGTGCATTAGTTGTTATTATAATTTATATTAGGTGCTAAAGAAAAGCTAACTGCCTTTTAATTCACTGATAACTTTTACAATAACAATGTTGACTGTCTGTGGAAAAGACTGAATAAAGTATCAGACAAATTCCAGTATTAAGAACAAATGCTACACATACCTTTCAGCATTTTCAATATCTGTGGAAACCTGCCATGAATGTTGTTGAATATCTATTGGTGACGATGATGTGTCCTCTAAAATAGGTACTTCTGAACTTTCTTCCATTTTACTGTCTACAATCTTGGTGGCACAAGGCTCTTTTCCTTTAAAATGTTAAGACAAAGCAAAATATATCCCTGTTACTGAAAACAATTTATATAAATATATTCTGACCTGGAGAGATGTGAATGTATACTGAGCATGAACAGAGGGAGTGAAGTGGAAGGATATTATGTACTAATGAGAGTTGTGCTTCACAGCCACGTAGCCACATGAGTAAGGTCAAATGGCTAAGCATATTGCTAGCCTAAGGAAGGATACCTTGTGCCCAAAAGCTTGTTTAAATCTCTCCCAACTATGCAGTTGGTCCGATTAAAAGATACTGCCCACCAAAATCCTTCCCATAAGCATCTTGCTGAACATTTTATGCAAAGGTCCCATTTGAAACCTAGTAATAAAGTGCAATATCTCAATTATGGGCCAAAGATGAAATGGAGCAAAATTAAATGGTGGCTTAAGTATATACAATAACAATGGCTTAAAATGCTCTGGCATCCATGAACATCACAGTGTGTGTTTCCTAGTCTTTATTACTTTCTGTTGTGGTGAAAAATTAGACAAAATATGGCTTTGTGTACTTGAGAAGTTTAGTAGCATGACATACTTGCCAATATTCATAACAGATTTCAAATTTACATAAATTATTCTACTTACAACTCACTACTGTACAAAAAAAAAAGCTATGTTGGAGCTGAGTGAATTCCAGGATGCTCCCCAAATCCTAGATGTTAATAGGTATGGGTGACCACATGTCCTGGTTTGGCTGGAACAGTCCTGGATTCTGTAAAGCATATGCAGGCGGGGTGGCATCTGCTCCAGTCCACCCGCCTTTCTGCCACACAGCATCAATGGTTCCTGCCTGCCTACCTGCCTGGCACACCATACCACTTCACCTCCCTGCTGGACTCTGGCCCTGGACTTTTGACCAACCAGCCAGCCCTGGCTTATGAAATCCAGGACTGTACCAGCCTAACTGGAACGTATGGTTACCCCTACATATAGGGGGGTAGAGAAGGAAAGGTGGGGCTTGGTGTAGGTGGTGACTGCAAGGGATGTAAAGGATGGTGGGATTAGCTGGTGTCTTGGTAAGGCTGTTCTTCGGCATTTCTTGTCTCTAGTGCTGAGTGCAGCCTACCATCAAACACTATTATGGGATGCATTCCTTTAGTGTTATCATTTGAATAGGAATTTTGAAGCAGGACTGCTTTCCAGACATCTTTCTCAGACCTTAAGGTTCCTGTTTCTGACCTGAGTCATTTGAATCTGTCAACTTGCCAGTGAAAAATAACTCTTATTAAGCATGACTTTACAAAAAGAAATAAATCAATATTAAAATAAAACCTGGGGTCTACTTAGGAATTGGTAGTAAATATTTTTTTCTATTTCACAACATTTTTAGAGATTTTAAAAAATGCCCTTGTTCTGCATCAGGACAAACCAGAGACCACCAACGTTCTGAGAACCAGACCCACCAATCAATAAGAAATTCTGAACAACCTCTGGTCTGAATGTGCAGCTAATCTTAAATTTAGCAAGACATTGCCTAGTTAGATATTAGCTGAGTAATTACAGGATAGAAGAAATTACTTGTTTCCATCATCCAGCATTTTAGGTCATTCCTCCTCCTACCTCCTCCCCTCTTTCAGTCAAACCTCCCACTGTCTTTCTGTGTATTATAATCATGTATTATTTTAAATTACTCCCAATTGTCCATTCCTGTTTATGCCACTGTCTTATCAGGATCTCAATGCTAGACTTCTAACTGTCTGAGGCTGTTAGCTACTTTCTGCTCTTCTCAGAGTACTGAGGTTTACAGGCTCATAATATAATAGACAATTATCACATAACTGTGCTTATCACTTCCCTGTCAAAATGATTGTTCTGGTATGCTATCCAATTTTTCACAGTTACTAGAGAAATGCAAACTATTATTGTTATCATTTGATGTTAGTTAATTTTTACCATTATTTTAAAAGTGTTTTGGTTTTAAACAAGGATTCTTTTTCCTTTACGGATGACAGGAATTCAGAGTCTGCACCAATCTTTTTTCTGCACAAAGGCAATCTCACATGGTTTTGGAAGAACAAGCGGTACAGAGCTCTTTTCAACTGAAAGGAGCTTTTCACTAGTAATTTTGTTGAATCCTAACCCATTCATGAAGCACTCCTTGAAATTCAGAATGTCTGCTGAAAAATAACTTGAAAAATAAATGGGGGTCTCTTAATAATAAAGGCTCTGCGTGAAGACTATCAAGAGCTTAGGGTTACGACTTCTTACTATATGTTATATAATCTGTGCAGGCCCATATTTTGGAGGGAGGATATGTTCTGTATATATACTTTTATCCTTAATAGAAAGACAAGACCTGATCCAACTCTCAGAAGTCAGTGGAAAGCATCCCATTGACTTTAGTTGGTGCCCAGTCAGACCAATAGATTTTCAGAGGTCATTGCTCCTGGTTGTTGGGCTAGAATACTGGCTATAGCAATTCAAAAACAAGAAAAAAAGAAAAAGGCTTGGACAAGAGTCCTACAGGAGGCAAATTGCACTGTGGCAGACATGACCAACCTAGAAACTCTGAAGAAAGTTACTGCAAACTCTCAGTTGATAATTCAGAGTGGCTGTGAGGAGATTCTGCCTGTCTTCATTCCTATCACAGGTTTGCTCCCTAGTGGGTACATCTGCATTTGCAAATAATCCGGGAGCAGTTTACTTTCAGGTGAACTCTCCCAGGCATGTATTTACATGTGCAGGGATGCGGAAGCAGATTTGCTGCCCTTAGCAGCCAACTGCTCCCACTGCCTGCGGCCCTGCACTGGGCCCCTGCTGCCACTAGGGAGCTGGAGGCTCTGGCTGCAGCTGCCTGTGGCCAGCAGCCATCTGCAAAAGGCAGCCCCGTGCACTGCTCCCTGCCAAGCCCCTTTTCTGGCTGGGAGCAGCAAGCAGAGTGTGGTGGCAACACATGGTGGCTTTGTTGCTGCAGCCTCTTTCCGCTGCACCAAGGCTGCTCCATCCCCCAGCCCTGGCAGTGACATCCCATGCCTTGGGCTCTTGCTTGCTATACTGCTGGCCCTGCTGACCTGCTGTGGCAATTCCATTGCTCACTGCACCCACCTGGCTAGCCTCACTGTGCTCCCCTCTGTAGTCCACTCAGATGGCTGCCCATGGACCCCTGCCCCACCATGCATCCCCAGCACCACATTCACTGTGGACGGTTCTCAGAAAAGCACTTTATTTCCATCCACAGAAACAGACCCTCCCTCTCCCTCTAGCAACAGAGCCTGTCCCTTCTCCCTGGTTCCCAACAGAGCCCCTTCAACACCCACTCCACCCACCATCAATAAAACACCCTCTTCCCTGTACTATTTAGAAGTGCTGTGTGTATGCCCTCCCAGGGTGGGGGTGGGGTGGAGACACCTATGGGTGGAGCCCAGGCATAGGCACCCAGCACTCTTGCCATTCCCCTGAGGGTGCGCATTCCATGGCAATCCCAGCAGCCAGGGCTCACTCAGGGGTGACGGTGGGTGCTGCTCTCCTGGTGCGGCCAGGTCCTCCTCCTGCAGCTAGTGGTCAGAACCAGCAACGCTTGCTCGTGGTGCTGGCCCTGCTGCAGGCAGCTTCTGCTTTGTGGCTGTGTGCAACTGGGGTCAGCAGCAGGCTGGGTCCTGGCCGAGGGGCTGGGTGGTGGGGGACCCGGTGCTGGGCCTGAGGCAGGGGCTCCTGGCTGGTGGAGGTGACACTGCACCTCAGCTCAGGGCCATGGGGAGGCCTGCTGCTGGGTGGTGGGTGGCAACTGTGAGGGCCAGGACAGTGTCCAG